TCATCTTGAATGTCTTAGTATGACTTATTTTTACTTTTGCATGTATATTTCTTTGTACAGAAGATTGTGTTTACATGTTACTACGTGTTGTAAATAACTTATTTTGTCCTCTGTTATTTTGCCATTAAACGTACAAGGCACAGTCAGCGTTACTGAAACTTTTGTGCGCAATATATTCATTCATCTCCACCCCCGTGAGAATGTCTGTTATTATTATTCATTCATGATTTCCCATAAGCTTTTGAGGGCTGGAAGGTGAGATAAATCTGTATTCCCGGCATGATTAGAAAGCAGGGGAAAACCCTTAATTCACATGGCTGCAATCAGTCATTCATTAAAATTATTAAACACAAAAAACCAACACAGCAGCCATGTTAAGTCTTGCATTAGAGGGGATTATTGTTTGCCATAGCGTAACACCTTTGACATGTTTTTCTTTACTTTTTATTTTCATATGAAGAGTGACATTTGGAAGCACTGCGGGGAAACAATGAAAAGCAAAGTGAGAATATTAAAATCAGGAGGAAGATACGTGTACAGTAATAGTGAACGAATGTCATTACTGCGATGAAGATCAGTTCGAGAGATAAACTATGAGAAGGTATCAGGAGGGGACTGTTGCTGATCTTATCAGTCCGGAGCAGATGCTGCTGCTGTTTTTGAATCAGTGCAAGCAGTGTGTGTTGCATCACTGCACAAAGAACGCACGATTTTACCTCCCACTCAACCCACGTCCGCTACAATAGTTACTCACTGAGGTCTGCTAGAGTACATTTTTTGCAGCATTTTAAACCCTGGTATCTACGCATGAGCGTTATCAGCCTGGAGTGTTTGTCATCTAAGCCCCAGTCGAGGTTATTTACTTCACCTGACGCACCTGTGTCTCTGTTCTGAAAGCGGCGCTTTCACCCAGTGCTTGAAAGGTGCCTGTGCACTTATCGGGTGTGAAATCTATTTCGTCTTTCTTAGCAACAGTTTTTTGTTTTGTTTTTATTTTTTGCATGAAACTACAGAAGGGGTATCTTTACAATCTTTACACAAAATCTTGTGATCAAAATCTCACGCAAGAGCTGTGAAGTGTGAAGGTGATGCACGCCAGCGCAGAGGGTTTTTTTTTTTCTGTTCTACTAACTTGATTTGACCTGTGACCAAATATTGCGTTGTTTATTCGTTTTAATTATTCGGGTACTGCTTTACTTTAAGCCCACACGTTTAACTCGACACAAATACCTAATATACGATTATGCGCATTTCTTGATAGCCCGATATTTCCCAGTTTTGCGCCTTCTCACCCACTGTTGCTTCTGGGCATTTTCCACCCACTGAATTCAGCATTCACTCATATGGGGAGAGTCCTGTCTGGCTGTAGTTTAAAACCAAAAGCAAACGTGAGTCAGAGAAAGAGATGTCAAATACTTAGAAAGTTCACGCTGATGAGGAGAATAATGACGTGATTGTGGCCCACACACTAACGGGACGGGACGCGAGTTGCAAGCCTGTAAACAAGCACACTCCTACTATCTAACCACAATCAGGAGACAAGAGACCACTAGATGGCATCGGAGATCTTGGTTTCAAGAATTTGCCGATAGCGGAACACATCGTGTGCAAAACAACCCGCAGAGCATCGACTTACAGACGTTACTAAAGAACCAAATTTGATTGGCCAAGCTCGAAACAGAAACTACTGCAGTCTGGAGAAGAACAACAGAAACAGCACGTAGTGTGGAAAAGGGTTTGAAGGAGATAACAGAACTGTGTGTTATTAAAAGGTTAAATGTGCCATGCACTGCTGAAACACTGTTGAACCTACAGAGGGTAAATTCCCTCTGTAGGTTCACTAGAGTTTTGTGTGTTTAGCAGAGGTGGTTCCCATGTAGTGAGAATTGGGCAGTTGAGTCACGCTCTCTGCTACAGGCCAGGCAGTTCACATGAAACTCGCTGGCCCAGTTTCCACATTTAAAGTGGTGAGAGCAAAAACAGGTGAATGTGAAAATATGAGTTTTATATCATATGTTATATCGTACTGGTATTTCACGCTGCGTGGCAACCAGTAAGAACAAGTACTGACATCACAGCCCCAACTCTCACATATCTGTTTACCATCTTTCTCACTTGACCCTTTGTCCTTTTTTTTTAACTGTGAGAACATGACGATAAGGGGAAAACACATGACACATCACAAAGTCTCCCTAAGTACACTGTTTTTGGAATTTGACTTTCATTTTGATGTCTTTAATAGATGGCATCAAATTTTTTGGACTTCTTTCATGGCTGTGACACTTGCACATTGATAAAAATCTGCCAGCAAACCTGCAGACCTGCCACTGAACCTTTTTACAATAGAGGTCTCCACAAGTGTATCTTAGTTTGATCCCCCCTCCCCCGACACACACACATGCTAAGAGGAAGGGGGGGGGGAGGAGAGAGATCATAACTTGAACTCACCCAATCAGGGTTAAGAACACATAACTTGTCAATACATTAAAAATGGATCACCACAAATGCAACAACAACAAAAAATTAAAAAAAAGCTTTTTCAAGTTTTTCAAGTCATGAGCGCCAAGCTGAAGTAAAGTCGAGTCATTTATCAGTTAAGCCCACAGATCAGTATCTGAAGTCTGGCATGAGTCAATCCACGTGAGCGGTTGAGTTATAGAGTGAAAGGAAGACTTCACTTTTAATCATTTCAGCATTGCAGGGAAAGCATTTTCCGAGTAGTTAGTGTGAAACTTTCCCCCAGAGCTTGTCAGAGCTGCTGCTTTATCGCTGCATTCTCCAGACTTGTGTACAACAAGAAGTAGTTCAGCTGTTGACATCTGGAATGCATTTAAGACACGCTTTCAGTCCTCTGCTGTACTAACCTGGGTTATTTGGGGGGGCTAATAATGTTTTTTATGTTTGCTTGTTTCTTCTTTCTCATTAGTACTGTTGTGGGAATAATTGTTCAGCTTTTGTGTTTTTATATCGCAGACAGTTTTCAAACTGTTTACTTGCAGGTTGTTTTTCCGTTTCCTTGCCTAAACAGCCTTATCTGGTGAGATGCTTCTGTACTGCCTCAGCAGTTCTTTGACCACAGAAACCAAATGTTTGTGCCAACCCTAAAACTGCTTAGAGCCGTGCAGCACCTTCAGATCATGCTTTACAGCTCTGTAGGATGCTGTAACATCCATTAACTCCTTACACTCCTGTTTAGTTAGATCACAGTATATATAGTTTGTTTTACAGGGGCTTTTCCTGATGGTAGATACACGTCAAAGTGGTCTTCAGGAAGGTCAGTAACTACGATTTTGGATTCATCCACCCAGAACAAAAAGCCCCAATTTGTGCCAGTGTCTTCACTGACAAAGAGCAGTTTTCTTCTAATTGTCTTTTTGCACAGCAAATGTTTCTCCCTGGTACGCTTTTGATTCAGACTAAATTTGTGCTTTCTGAAAATAAACACGTTCACTTTGACACAAATAGCTGCGCACAGTCTCCTGCAGATCCTGTGATGAAATTTTGGAGCTTTTGAGAACTCTTTTTGCATCAGATGTTCTTTTCCTGGGCTGGAATTTTTTCATTTGAAATCTACATGTTGATGATGATAATGATGAGGATGATGCTCGCCATTGTTTTGAGCATCTTAAGAACTCCATTGTCTTGGGACTTAAACACCAGACACTAAATGTCAGCGGTCTAAATAAGGCAGGTTTCACCTAACACTTTCTGAGGAAGCAGTAATCATCAATCTACATCTATAGACAGGGTCAAGCCTGGCCCTCCTCTCAGTTTAGGGTTTCCACTTCCTCAGTACACTGTGTTCTCAGTATTTTAAGAGCGAGCTCTTTAAAAAAAAAAAAAACAGAAGCAGATTGTGTTATTAAGGGATGGGCGTATTCTGTCACTTTCCTCAAGAGTCTACATAACTGGGTTTCCCAAGGATGGACTCAGTGCTCCACTCTGACTTTTTGCTAGACTAACAGAAATAATGTTTTAGCTCATATCTCTCCACATAGACAATGGTGTAATGCGCAAAAAAAAAGGATTTTTTAGATTTAAAAAAAAGGTATATGATGGGTAGCTGCATGCTTCTTTTCAAAATATAGTAAAATTTAATGTAAGGCTTGGTGGCTAATTTATCAGATGAAAAATGCGAGTGCCTGTAAAGCAAACAGCTTCACTGACCGAAACCAGATGAATTGTACAGTTTATTACAGGAACAATAACACCTCTCTACAGTAACATGCATATCGAAGTTGGTTTGTTAGTCAGTGCAGATACTCCTTATTTTGTGGAAGCACTTAAAGCAAAAGGTAAAAATAGTGAAAAGAGGCAACTGCGGTTAGATTGGATCTGTCACACCTTTTCACCATACGCACTCATTCGTGTCACAGGGAGGCCGCACTTACCATAGAAATATAACACCTTTATTCTCTATTGTCAGCTGATTACAAACACCTTTTTTAAGCAGACATGAGAAAATACTACACAAAAACTGATCAAACATTTAAATTACCCCAAAAACCGAATCGGAATTCTTGTTGCCCCAATGACTGCACCTATTTGACAGAAACCAAAAATGTTTATGTTACAAAAACTATCAAAAAACTGGAAACTGAAGCAAAGATGAAAAAAAAACAGCGGAATTATAGGTGAAACGATAGAACCAAGTTTTATCAGACAATTCAGTGACTCCTTATGACTGTTTTCCTGGAAAGGGGGGTGGGGGGGTAATAATATCATAATAGTAATAATGATATCAATTCATATGAGAACAACTTTCTATTGATTCAGAGCTCCCCTTCTCTGAGAGGATCCAGTAAAATGCAGCCTGGAATTTTTGCGATTTTTTTGTAATTTGTCATCCCTCCGGGCATTGAAACAAAGAAGCTGAAAGAGGAACTGTCTGCATGCCCATCGATAAACTCTTGTAAAAAGGGACTTCTTTCTTGTAATCCTGATTAATATCACGAGACAAACCAGCAGAACTATGAAGTCACTTGATAACAAACGGCTCGGATGTGCACAAAGACTGCAAAGGTTAAACTAACAGCTTGGTTTCATGCTTCCTCTTTCAGGTTGTGGTTTTCTCTGTGTTGGGTAAAGTGCAAATGTTCTGCTAATGATGCTAGGCAACCTACACTGCTGAATCTGCAAAGTTGCACTGAACACGATTTCCTGTGCGCAGACTGATGCAACGGCTACAACTGTGAGGGGGGTCATCGTGTCTGGATAAAAATGTAGGCTACTATGACATGTAACTTTTCATGGTGGTGCGTTTCCCCACTTAAACTGGATGACGTTGCCGTAGCTGCTGACAGATGTTGTAGTTGACACAGTTTCGTGCTAAGTAAAGAGCCAGCGGCAAAACAAACTGCAACAAGTCTAACTGTGACTCATCGTCCCAGGTGAAGATACAACAAAGTATTCAAAATCAGATTTATAATGGAATTGCATACATTTTGGTCATAACTCATAGAAGTACAAAAACAGAGTAAAAAATACATATCTGTGGTACATTATATTAATATACAGTCACATGCATACATTCACAAGTGCCAAACCTTAACACTAGAAGTGACAATAAGCCACAGTGATCTATTTTTACTGGACATGAAAAAATGAAAAGAAGCACATCCCCCAACTGTCCTAGTTCACTACATAGCAGTGCTCCTCTCATCCACGCTGGTAGTTTGTGAGTAGACTGATGTAGAAATTCTGTCCTGTGGTATGAAGACCTTGATCAGCTGGCACAGTCTGCAGGGAGATCTGTTTATCATCCGCAACAGGTGCCTCCTGAACTTCTCTCCGACAAACACATACAGGATGGGGTTGAGGCAACTGTGAGAGTAAGCAATGGCCTCTGTGATTTGTAAAGCCAGTCTGATGGCTTTGCTGTACCCACAATCTAAAATCCGGTGCTTTAGCTCCAGTGCTCGGAAAAGTGCCGCAATGTTGTAGGGAAACCAGCAACAGAAGAAAATAGCTACCACTATGACAACAAGGCGGATAGCTTGTTTCTTGGATGACTGGCTGTTCAGTAACCTCCAGATGATCTGTGAGTAGCAGAAACCCAGAATGATGATCGGAATGAGCAGGCCTACAATGTTCATTTTAGCGATGCTGAAGACCGCCCAGAAATGAATACCGGAACTCACTTCTGGAAATCCAGGATAGCAAGTGTGCTGTCCCGACACATTTCTTTGCTCTTGGAGGAAGATCAGGTCAGGAAAAGAAGCCAGAAATCCCGCTCCCCATGTAATAGCAGCCGCAATCATTCCAAAGGAGCGTGTACGTGCTCTCATAGCACAAACAGCATGCACTATAGCCAAGTACCGATCAATGCTCATTAGAGTGATAAAAAAGATCCCACAGTAAAAGACGATGTGATAAATGCCCAAGACTATTTTGCACATAGCATCCCCAAACACCCACTGGTCCCTGGCTTGGTGGGCTAGGAAGGGCAGGGAACACACCAAAAGGAGGTCAGCGATGGCCAAGTTTAACAAGCACACGTCGGTCATGGTGCGGAGTCGCGCTCCACAAGTAATGACCCAGAAGACCAGAGAGTTACCCAGAATGCCCAGTAGGAAGAAAATGATGTAGATGGCAGGAAGAAAAGTTGCTCCGTGTCGCCTATATACACATGGTCCAAATTCATCATAGTCAATATCGGTTTCGTTGCCATAGTCATAATCATTTTCATCAATATTAGTAGCAGGTGTGCTGAAGCTGGAAAGAAGCAGAGGAACAAAAACAAATTATTAATGTACTTATTATGACTTACTCATTTTCAATTACCTTGTGTATGACAGATTAAAGTATGCATCAATATAAAACAACACCTTTTTAAACAGTTTAACTCAATGATGATCTGCAGGCTTCAAACTGTGTGGCAGCTCATTCAAATAGTATCGGAAAGCATGAGGAACTTTTAAAACCAGTCACTCACATGATCAGTGGTTTTGGTACATATCTCTGACATTGGCCAAAGCTGTTCAAAATGTTGGAAGTCTAAACAGAAACAATTTAGATAAAGCAGCGTATTTATCAGAATACTGAGATCAGCAAAATCAAAGCAGGAGATAAAGAAGTTGTTTAGCTGTCAGCTGCTCAGATAAAAGTTGATTAACAGGAGCACTGAAGAGATTTTCTTCACTCTAAATGCACTGATGCATTTAAAGTGAAGCCGCCGAGAACGTGTACGTTTGTGTGTGATAGTACCAATAGATACTTTCATCTGAATCATCTGAATAGCAGCACCACAGCTGTGACACTGCACAGCATACAGAATACAATAATTAATTAATAGCAACATCTTAACTAAATGAGAGTATAGTGCAAAACTAACATATACAATGATGAAACTAAGATTACATTTGATAATTTATAGTGTTTTGTATTTATTGTAGAAGCTTTACCTTACAAAATAAAACACCTTGAGGCACCTTGCTGAGATTTGGACCTACACAAATAAAAATTAATTTAACTGAATGTAATCAATTTATAATATGGTGTCAGCCAGCCAAGTCCGTCTATCAAAGAGTTTCTCAATGCACTCATCAGGTTTTGCAACCATCTTAAAATGCCTCCTGGCACTTTAAACGCAGGCAATCGGACACTGTGTGACCACAGTTTTTCAATCTGTAAGTACAATTAACATTTATTTTATGATATATATAATCTAAAGAATATTCATAACATTCTGTTTATTTAGTTCAGTTGAATTTCAGTCTTACAGCTCAGCAGGAAGTCAAATTTTATTCTGAAGTGCTGCGGTTGTAAATAAAATAAGCGGTTAGTGAAGCAGCACGGTTGTTTTGGTGCAGATATAGCAAAGTAAGAGAACCACTGCACGAGCTCACGTGGCAGTGAGGTAAGCTTTATCAGGCTTCTTTTTTAAACTTCCTAAGAGACAGACCGTCCGTGACTGCTGCTGGTCTGTTGGAAGTAAGGGCAGGGGGCCAGCAACTGTGAAAACAAACAGCTGGCGATTGTTTACAAGCGAGCAAATCACAAGTATTTGGCGACAAATGACGAAGTGCTTGAAGATTTTGAATCCCTCACAGTTCACGAGAAAGTGACACAAACTGTCCAAACGCAGGCCAACGCTAAAACAATAACTAGGAATGCGTCGCCTGGAAGGAAAAATGAAAGGAACGTGAAAACAGCGAAGATTCAAAAAGACGGGGGGGAAGGATAGTAATGATATTAAAAAGCTTAAAATAGTCTCACGATGAGCAATAAATGAAGAAAATGCCGATAGATGTTTGTTATAGCTGATCTTACCCTTGGAAAAGTGAAGATTCAGTAAGATTCAAACTGAAAGTAAAGTCAGTTTCGGTGGTCTCGTCCATGATCAGCTGCTTTAAAAAAAAAAGAAAGAAAGTGGCAGGGGTGGGGATACTGTATTTTAACTGTAAAGGAGTGAAATAAATCTCTAGTTTTCACTCGTTAGCAAAAAATCAGCCCTACTTATATGGTAAAAAAAAAGGATGTAAATTAGTTTAATCATTAAATTGCATGTAAATGTTCTATGCAATTTTGATACATAACTCAAATGTTAAATCTTAAACTGAGTTAAATCTGGGCAAATTAAATGTGAGTGTAAGTATATGCACACACAGGGACAGGACAGGTTCAGCACCAGGCCATGTGAACTGGATGGCCAAGCAGCTTTGATGGGGGGATTTGGCTCAATTCACTTTGCTATTACATGAATTAGAATACAAAATGTGATTGCACTCACACATACCCTGCATAATTGCACCCGTACACGCATGATAATGTCATAGAGGAATGTAGCCACAGATACAAAAGTGGGAAAATACATGTGTTTGAAAGCAGACGCACCGCCACACACAGTGGGACAGCTGACTGTGAGCACGCATTTATTTTCAACACAGTTCTATTTGTTTTGAAGTTTTTGAGTAGGGTTGTGCTTTAAAACTGTCCACACATACTGATGGGTGACCTGATTTTAGTTTCAAATATATATGAGGGTTACCTCTCACCGCTGTCCCTCACAGGCATGCTGCTTACCTCGATTGCAGCAGAAGTGTTTGTGGTTAACCAAATGTTAATGATTCTATACTGCTGTTAACCTAATAATTAAACCCAGCTTGCAAGCTTATCTGCAAGTTCATTTATCTGTATAAATCAGTGTAACTTATAGTTGACATATATCCACAGAATTCAGCTGAGGGGGGCACAGGGGCTTTATTGGGCCAATTCTTGACGTGAAGTCTGCACATAGATCATATTTTTGAATTACATTTATTAGGCAACTTGTATATCAGTGGATCTGCAAAAATATAAGTAACAAAAGTGTTCAAAGAAATGGGATAAATTAGAAGGCCCATTATGGTGCAGGAGTGGAAATAAACCTCACATGAATAATCCGATAAAGTAAAATATCCAAAGTGGAGATGATTGGCCATGAAGCCAAACATGCTCTACGTTCAGTGAAAACCAAGCACAGCATGTCAGTACAAAAACCACATACCAAGTGTCAAACACGATGGTGAGGAAAGGTGAGGATATAGGGGTTTTTTGCAGCCACAGGATCTGTGCACCTTGCAATCATTAAGTCAACCATGCTCTCTTGTGTATACCAAAATACTCTAGAATCAAATGTCAAATGCCACCTGTCTGACAGCTTAAGCCTGACCCAGTTTGATCAATGATGACAGTGACAGTGATCCCTAACACAAAAGAATGGCTGAAAAAGAAGAGGATCAACATGTTTCAATGATCCAGTCAAAGTCCAGACTTTAGGCTGATTGAAATGCTGTGGCTGGCCCTTGAGAGAGCTGTGCATGAACAAATTCCTGAATATCTCAATGAATTGAAGCGAGGTTGTACAGAGGAGTGGGGAATAAACACTACACGTCTATAGCTAGCCAACTCAAATCTGCTCCGTGCGCACTTGGAACTAATTCGAGAACTGATTGCTGTTAATTTCGGGATTATTTTACCAATCGATCTGATGCTCTTTAGTCTTTAACTGCTTCATTATGAAATACTATGAAACTTTGTGACTGGTTACATGTTTTATAAAGTGCTATTTAAATAAGTTTTACATACTTGCAACATTTTTTAAAGATCTCTCTGCTTCTAGTTGCCGATGACTTACATGCTTGTGGTCATTCCATGTATTGAGGGGAGGGTGACCCACATTTGCTCTTGTTATGGTTTGTGGCAACAGATTTCTTTTTTATGCCCTTTTAACTTCATAGCACTTTTGGTTTATTACATTTCACACAGGTGGATTAGAATCAGTGTGCTGCATCAGTCTGTGGTAGGCTTCCCCAGCAGTGGTTTTGTCATTTCTTCCCTCTACCTCTCCTCTTTTGATTCAAATTTTGGTAAATTTAATCTAATAAAGGATCTGTTACAGCAGCACACTGACTGTTGTAGCTTCTTCAGTGATGTGCCTATAACACATTTTCAGCAGCTGCGTGCAAAAAACAAAATACTACAAATAAATAAATCTATGAAAAGTAATGTTAGAGGAGAATATCCCCCTAAAGTTGATTATGTCATGATTACTATCAGAACCTGAGTTGGCATAGGATTTGTGTACATCAGTCAGCAGTAAGTATCGGCAGCTTGTTTACACAATATTATAATGCTGATAATAATAATAGTAATAATAATAATAGCTTAGCTTTATTTGATATCTTTCATGGAACTCAAGATCACTTTAAACATTAAAGTATTAAAAAGGAAGCCAAATAAGGTATAGACTATAAAGTAAAAATCCTGCATGCTGGCCACAGAAGAAGAAATCTCCATTGTAAGTGGTTTATTTACTTAAGACTGAAAAAATAACTGTCTTGAATTGTGAGGACTTTGCAGTTAGTGCGCTGCACTATATTTAAAATGCTTTGTGATTAGCGTCAGTCTAATTGACGATTGATGATAGCTACTACTGTTTTTCAAGAATTAAGATAAGTTTTTTAAACACGTTCCATTAATTAAAAAAAACACACACACAAAAAGACAAATAAACAAAACAAGGCAAAAAAAAAAGTAGAAAACTACTTGGATAACTTGGATATTATCAAAGCATATTGCATTTTATATTCAAAAGTGTCACGAATGAGATGAGGATGTAATTTCCTCTCCCACTGACCTAAATCTAACACATGCAAAAGAGAAAATGCCCTGTCACTGTCAGCAGATAGACAGATACAGAAGATGCACCTTGGTGCTTGTCTCTATTATCACTTACAAAAAGAAAAAAAAAGAAAAAAAGGCAGCATTACTGTCATTAATTAAATAATGCATAGATAACAAATTCCTCACTGTGCCCCAGTTCACTATTCTTCACTCAGACTGCCCTATGCCACAACAGGTAAAAGATGAACTGATAATGATCTTGCGTCTAAGATATGGATCAATGAGCTAAATCCAAAACATTTTGAGACATTTTTGATAATTGAACTGAGTCATTAGACTGACCTTCCTATTTTTCCTTTATACTTTTGTCCATTTAGATATGATTATAGATGCTTTCCATTAAAGAAAAAAAACATTTCAAGTGTCACAGGCTGAAGATAAATAAGTGTGCGTCATTGTTTTCTTCCCACTTACAGAACTGTAAAGGCGTGCAGCAATACTGCTGACATGTTAGCCTAAATCACTCTGCATATAAAGTGGGAAAAATATTTTTACCTTTCCATGGTGCTGATGGTGGAATTCATTGTGGATTGCAGGAAAGAGAGATGGCTTGTCTAATGCATTAAGATCTGTGAAGTGAGAAATGGTTTGCACACACATGAAAAAAAATTGAAGGTGTTGCTTTTTTTTTTTT